AGGATGAAATATCTAGGAATAAATGTAACCAGAGAAACAGTTGGATTCCTCTATAGTAATAATGACAGAGCTGAAAAGGACATTAGGAAAGCTATGCCATTTACAATAGCCACCCAAAGGATGAAATATCTAGGAATAAATGTAACCAGAGAAACAAAGGACCTATACAAAGAAAATTACAAAACACTACTACAAGAAACCAAGAGTCTTACAGAAGTGGAAGAACATACAATATTCCTGGATAGGAAGACTCAACATCGTGAAAATGTCAATACTGCCCAAAGCAATTTACACATATAATGCAATCCCAATCCAGATTCGAACAACATTCTTCAAAGAGATGGAAAAAACAATTACAAACTTTATATGGAAAGGAAAGAGACCCAGGATAAGCAAAGCACTGCTTAAGAAGAAGAACAAGGTTGGAGGCCTCTCACTCCCTGACTTCAAAATTTACTACACGGCTACAGTGGTCAAAACAGCCTGGTACTGGTACAATGAAAGAGACATAGATCAATGGAACAGAATCGAGAATCCAGAAATTAACTCATATACATATAGGCAACTGATTTTTGACAAAACACCTGAATATATCACATGGGGAGGTGATAGTCTCTTTAACAGATGGTGCTGACAGACCTGGAAAGTGATAGGCAAAAGACTGAAACAAGACCTTCACCTCACACCTTATACAAAAACCAACTCAACATGGATTAAAGACTTAAATGTGAATCCCAGAATTATGAAGGCCATCAATGAAAAAATAGGGATAAATGTGAGGGCACTAATTTAGGAAATACACAGACTACCAAACATTTCGAAAACAACACAAACAAAAGTAGACAAAATAGATGAGTGGGACACACTAAAAATTAAAAACTTATGTGCGTCAAATGATTTCACCAGAAGAGTAAAAAGAGAACCCACAGAATGGGACAAAATCTTTTGCAGTGACACATCAGACAAGAGACTCTTTTTGAAAATATATAGGAAACTACAACACCTCTACAAGAAAAGGACAAATAACCCAGTTAAAAAATGGGCACAGGACATGAACAGACACTTCAACAAAGAGGAGATCCAGGCAGCCAACAAACATATGAAGAAATGTTCACGATCACTAGCCATTAGAGAGCTGCAAATCAAAACAACAATGAGATATCATCTCACACCAACAATAACAGCAAAGATCAAAAAAGTAGAGGACAGTAAATGCTGGCAAGGATGTGGAGAGACTGAGACCCTCCTACATTGTTGGTGGGATTGCATTTTGTTCCAACCTCTCTAGAAAGCAGTATGACGCTTCCTCAGAAGGTTGGAAATAGAAATACCTTATGACCCAGCAATTCCTGTAGTTGGTATTTACCCACAAGAAATACGAGCCATAACATGAGTAGATATATGCACACCAATGTTCATAGCAGCACTATTTATAATAGCAAAAAGATGGACACAGCCTAAGTGCCCATCAGTTGAAGAATGGATAAACAAACTCTGGTACATACACACAATGGAATACTATGCTACTTTGAAGAATAACAAGGAAGCTGCAAGCCACCACATAACATGGATGAACCTTGAGGATGTTATGCTGAGTGAAATTAGTCAGTCACAAAAGGAGAAATTCTACATAGGGCCATTATTGTAAAAGACTAAGAAAAACAAGCCACCCTAAAAGGGGAGGGGATTATAAATTATATATATATATATATTTGCTGATATATCAGAGTTTTGTATACGCCACTGCCATCTTGCCTTCATGGTTTCTGCTGAGAAATCAGAATTTAGTCTTATTGGTTTTCCTTTGTAGGTAACTTTTCGTTTTTCCAGAGCTGCTCCCAGGATTCTCTCTTTGTCTTTGATTTTGGAAAGTTTGATTATGATCTGTCTTCGTGACCTCCTTTAGAGATTTATCCTGTTTAGGGCTCATTCAGCTTATCTTTTTGTCTTTCATGATATTAGGGACATATTCTTCCAACAACTCTTTGACAATTTTCTATGTGCTTGTCTCTTTCTGTCTGGAATTCCAGTAACTTGTAAGTTGTTCCTCTTCATGATGTCCCACATAACTCATAGACTTTCTTTGGATTTTTTTTTCATTCTCTTTTTTCTGATTGTTCTAGCATACTAATATTGAGAGAATTATTTTCAAGCTCACTAATTTGGGCTTCTATTGCTTCACATCTACTTCTTTGCCCTTTCAATATATCATCCATTTTTGAGATTTTAGTATTAATCTTCTGGATTTCTACTTGCAGGTTTTGTATTGTTTCAAAATTTGCATTTATTTTGTCTGTTTGTTCTTATACTATTTTTCTGAATTCTTCCAAAGATTTTCTTTATTCTCCTTGCTTTCCTTGATCTTTCTATTGATACTTAATTATCAGTCTTTTGAATTCTTTTTCAGTTCTATTACCTTTTCTTTTCAGAAACATTTTCTGGCTCTTCTTCTTGGTCATTTGTTTGAGTCATTCTTTCTTGCTTCTTTGTGTGAGCTAAAATTGTCTATTGTCTCTGAGGCATTGTGGAATTGTCATATTTGTAAAAACAAACAGTGCAGTTGTTGGACCTGGAGGGGAGAAATCTCTGGTGAGCTCCTGTAATTCAAGGAGCTCATGAGGTGGTTGTGGAAGGGTTGTGCAGAGTTCCTGGTCCTTGATGGAGTTCCTATTGGGTTCACTGATACCTATGTTCAGGGCACTCAGTTGGGAAATAGTTCATGGGGGTATATGCTGGAGCTGGTTTTAGTGTCTGTTAGGACCACAGGGATGCTGAGAGCAGCATGACTGATTAAATGCTGGTCTGGTGCCACTGCAGGTTTTTAAATTTTGGAGCTGAGCTCACCTGCATACAGGTACCAAGGCAGTGCAACCAGCCCCCACATTATGCTGGCATGGTTTCCAACCACGTGGCTCCAAACTCCTGGAGAGCAGGGTCTGCTGCTGGGGTTGGATGAGGGTGGGAACTGGCCACACATCTGGTCACCAGCTTGGGGAGAAAGAAGAAATTGCACTTTTCTGTTGCCTGCGTGAATCTGCTCTGCCAGGCCTCCCTCCACTGCCGAAGCTGCTCACAAGATGGTCGAGCTGCGTCTGGCCAGCCATTCACCCATCAGTCTCCTTCTCTTATCATCCCTGCTTGGCTTCTCCTCTTAGCAAGCACTCCATGCATCTCTCTAACTTTTTAAATGAAGCTTAGAATTGTCTTCTGTGTCTGTTTTATTTGTCTCTTTTATCTTTGTTGTAGAGGGTCTGTGTAGTGCATCTGCCTAGCCCACCATCTTCTTTTGATTTCTTGACTGCTGTTTCCATGAGTGTTGATTGTGGATCCAAGGAAAATGAAATTTTTGACAGCTTCAATCTTTTCTCCATTTATCATGATGTTTCTTATTGGTCCAGTTGTGAGGATTTTTATTTTCTTTATATTGAGGTGCAATCTACACTTAAGTCTGTAGTATTGGATCTTCATCAGTAAGTATTTTATGTACTCTTTGCTTCCAGCAAGCAAGGTTATGCTATCGGCATATCGCAGGTTAACGACTCTTCCTCCAATCCTGATGCCACCTTCTTCTATATATAATCCAGCTTCTCCATTATTTGCTCAGCATACACATTGAATATGTATGGTAAAGGATTAAACCCTGGTGCACATCTTTCCTGATTTTAAACCATTCAGTATCCCTTTGTTTTGTTCCAACGACTACCTCCTGGTCTATGTACAGTTTTCTCTTGAGCACAGTTAAGTGTTCTGGAATTCTCATTCTTCACAATGTTATCCATAATTTGTTAAAAATCCCTACAGTCAAATGCCTTTGCATAGTCAATACAGCATAAGTAAGCATCTCTCTGGTATTCTCTACTTTCAGCCAAGATCCATCTGACATCAGCAATGATAGCTCTCATTCTACATCTTCTGAATCCAACTTGAATTTCTGCAACTCCCTGTTGGTGTACTGCTGCAACCATTTTTAAATTAAATTCAACAAAATTTTACTTGCATGTGAAATTAATTATATGGTTCGATGATTTCTGCATTCTGTTGGGATGGGCATAAATTTCTGCATTTCTTTGGAATGGGCATAAATATGGATCTCTCCCATTAGATAGCCAGGTAACTGTCTTCCAAATTTCTTGACAGACAAGAGAGGACCTCCAGCACTGCATCAGTTTGTTGCAAGGAATTGTCTTCTGTCAATTTCTGGAGTCTTATATTTTTTTTTTTCCGCCAATGCCTTCAGTCAGTGAACTTCTTCCTTCATTAGTTCTTGATCATATGCTACCTCTTGAAATGGTTGAACATCTATTAATTCTTTTTGTTATAGTGACTCTGGGAATACTATTCCTTTCATCTTTTTTTATTTGTTTGTTTTAATGTTTTATTGTGAATTATGTGAAAGTTTACATGGGAGAGCATTAGCTTTACATTCATCCTATCATATATCATTTCAGTGCCATGGTTACAATTCCCTCCATGCATCATCAACCAACCAAAGGGTATACACTGCAAGCCTGTCACCTGGTAGTCAACACACAGTCCCTCTCCCTCTCTGGGTCTAGAGTTCCCAGCCATTCCCTCTCTCCATGTCATCATCTCTGCCTCCATCTCCGGCATCACTGCTTCTCTGGGTAGGGTCCCGCATTCCACTCGTCTCCCTTGATGGTCCCAGAAACCTCCACTCCTGGACTGCAAAGTCAACCACTCCCCTTGTTTTGCTACAAAACATCTACCTTTACATTTCCAACCCTCACAGTCAGTTCTGATAACAATTATTCACTATTGTACCACAAGAGACCTATCCCCATCTCCTTTTATCAGCCCCACCCAGACAGATTGGATACTACTTTGTGGAGATTCTACCTGCCTCCGCACCCTCTGGATCTAGGCTTCCTCTTGAAAGCAGAATGCAGGCAGGTCACACCTTGGCCATAGGAACTAATTTCATTTTTCAAATTTTACCTTGTACGGCCTTTTGGTCTTTTCACTTGTTCTTTCCCTGCCAGGACTATCCGTCCACCTGTCTTAGGGAAGACAGGTGGAAAATTCATCCCTGAATTCCCTCTGTAATGCTCCCAGGCCTGTCCCCCCTGGGGTTCCTATGGCCAAGGTGTGACCTGCCTGTATCCACACCTGACCCCTGCTGCTGTATGTGCTGGGACTGGCACTGAGCCGTGCCCCATGCATGTATGACTGCACGGTGAACAAATGACCGAATGTCAGGCGCTGTGATTCCCAGGAATCAGGGGGACAACCCCCACCCCCCCCAGATACACCACTCATTTGTGCAAAGTGTCAGGGAATCAACTCAACAGATATTTTTCCTTTCCCAGGGTGTATGTTGAGAATTGGTTGCTATTCTCCTATGTCCTCTTTTACTTTCCCTGCCCTGAGATCATGTAACTATGGGGCTAGGGACTTGGGGCGGTTCCTTAGGGCAGGACAACAGGAGAGTTTTTCTGGCTGTTTTGAGGGTGCTTGTTCCTAAGCTCATGGTTCTGAGGAGTGTTTAGCAGAAATTTTGCTCTTAAGATCTTTTTTCTTTAATGTTTTATAGTGAATTATATGATAGTTTACATGGGAGAACTTTAGTTTTACATTCATTTCATCTTATATCATCTCACTGCCATGGTTCCAATTCCCTCCATGCATCATCAACCACCCAAAGGGTATATCCCAGAAACCCTTCCCCCTCCTCCCCCTAGTTTTTGGCCCACAGTCCCTTTCCCTCTCTGGGTCCAAGGTCCCCAGTCGCATCATCACTCCACCGTCATCATCTCTGTCTCTATCTCAGGCATCTCTGTTTCTCTGGGTAGGGTCCCGCTCTCGGCTCTTCTCA